GCAACGCCTGCAAGTTGTCTGCTTTTTGCGGAGGACTTGCAGTCACGTGAGAACGACGCCGAGCTCGGATTGGCTTTGATTGAAAGGATAATGGGTAGACCTCGGGTGCCTTGAGGTCTACCAACTTTTTTTTTTTTTCAATCAGCCGATAAGCGTTAGGCTTTCTGACATCATTGCAACCCCTGTGCAAGAAGCAGACGAAATTGCGCATTGGTCCCAATGGCTGACGTCACCAGGCGTCACCCTCTCCCCCTTTCTCCGCCGCCGTGGTGAGACAGTCATCTGCCGTACCTCCTCGCTCTCCTCGAGACGTCATGCATGGCGCTGGCGAGCGGACGCACGGACTGACAACGGCGGGTTTTCGTGAAAACGGTCGTTCTAATGTCTTAAAAAAAGCAATATTGCTCTCACGTATGGGTACTTTTCAGCACTTTTACAGCTTAATCACGTTTCTTACAGAGTGCTGAAATTTAGTGCAGCTCATGCAAAACATATCAAGTGCGTCAGAGTAAATCGCATAAAACTCAGTCGACCAATGGATTGGATTTAATTGACTGAAATGTTGAGATATCTAAAATGGTGACTGGAGCCGTGTTGGCACACACAGAGCTCTACGACTCAGTTCTGTCAGCAGGCTTGACTAAGGGGCGCAGACCCTTAGTCAAGCCTTTTATAGGCTTTTTGTTCACGCCCCCAGCATCTGTGCGATGTTGAATAAAGATTTGATTGATTTATTGATTGGCTAGGAGAGTCAATCAATCCGTGCAGTATCTTAAACGCAAACTGCAAATCCGCTTCCACTCGACGCCGGTACAGGCTCGACATGTCCACGACTCCTGAATCAAATTCATGTTTAAAGATGGAAATAACTTTAATGATAAATTGAGGCTTGTGGGACAGAACGTGACAGTCGAGCGACGAACGTCTGCATTCGGTTCCTAGCTGCAAAACCTGTAACACTAATAGGGATTTAAAAAAGCGACAAGGTAATGCTAGCGTGTTACATTTGTCAACAACTTGAAGAATATTTAATCAAACAATAAATTACTCCTTCGGTCGATAAATCAGTGTTTATTATAGTGCCCAGGTACAAGCTGTCAGTCTTTGTGCTGACATAATTCAGTAATAAATACTCTTACCCCCACACACACACACACTTACAAAACAAAAAAACTAAAGTGCAAAGCAGGAACCCTGTTTGCAAGTCTGTATCTAACATAACAGATTGAGAGGTAATTTCATGCTCCTAGAAACACGTGAAATAGCACAAAACAGAGACGCGAAAAATGTTGTCCAGATCTAAAAAAGTAGAAAGAAAATATATTGCATTCAAAGGTACTTTCCAGCCCTTTTCCAGAATGTGTACGTTTCCGACAAGAGCGCTCAAACCTAGTGCAGCCCGCGCAAAAAAAAAAAAGAAAAAAAAATCAAATGTGTCAGAATAGAGGGTATAAAACTCAGCCCAGCTATATATTTGGTTGAATTGGCAAAAATGTTGAGATATATAAAATTATGACTGGAGCCCTGTCGGCAGACATCGAACTCTAAGACTGGCTTTGACAGCAGTCTGGGAGAGTCAATAAAGCCTGTAATGTTCTAAACAGACTGCAAGACTGCAAATTTGCTTTCACTTAACACGGGTGGAGGCTCACCATGTTGACAAGTCCTGAACCAACTTCACAGTTTGAGCAGTGTACTCCATTCTTCAGGTAACTACGTTTTCAGGTGGAAATGCATTTTTAGCTCTTTCCACACTCGAGCGCTTAGTTTTAGAGGTTCTGTTTGATACTGGTGAAGCGTAGTCTAGCCTAAACCTAAGTAACATAACAATTAAAAAAAGTGGACGTATTTTGAACTCCTTAGTTATGATGCGGCACCTAATAACAAGAGTCTTTATTTTGTGTCCCACAAATCAACCAGTAGGTCTTCATTTCAGTACACAGGATACCTGAAAACAAAAAACAAAGACAGCAAAACAGACATAAGAAAACCATTCAGGAACCAAATATACACCCAATTCACAAAGTGGCAACAGGCCCTTTCACTTGCTTCCTGAAAATAGATAAAACGCTGAATTTGTATATCCCCTGAATTTTCCGAGCGATTGCATGCGTGTTGAAGATGTCGGAAGTGTATGGTAGGAACAGAAAAGGAAGAATGATTTCTAGTCCAACGAGGTATGGGATATCAATGTTCACGTCATCTAAAAGCATACTATTACCTACAATTTCATTTGCTCTCTAATAAAAAATAAAAAAAAATAAAAAAAACGTTAGGCGGTCTCTTCTTAAAGGGCAACTGAGGTCGAAAACGAAACAAAAAGAAATGACTGGTATCGCTTTAGAGGCCCAAAATATGATCACAGCCGAAATATTACGCCAAAGTGAAGCCGCGGACCAGCTGCTCTTTAGCGCGCGGAAAGCGGGTTAGCTCTTAGTCAAGAACACTACTCCAGCACCCTTGTGACCTCACGTCGCGGTGGAGCTGCAGTTGATTGGCTGCGCCGTGTACCGCAGCACCAATGTGACGTCACGTCGCGGCCGTGCGGCTGATGATCAGTGTTGCCATTTCCCTAGCAGATTGTTTCAGTTTTGACAGATGCCTCAAACCAAGCTTTAAGCCCCATGATATTTATAAAACTACACAAAATATCAAGAAAAAAACCTTGTAATTCAGGGACACTGCTTTAGCTGAAAAAGTCCTTATCCAAAATTCAAAAATATTGTCCGGAGCTGCCCATTAAACAGGATCGTCAAGGGAATTTTTATCAAAGGGGCGTATTGTCAAATTAAAATCGACGTGCAAAATTGCGGTCCTAAAGATGGGAATCAGCCCTCCTGCAGATCTTTAATTTTTGCTGTCGGATTTCAAGATACCGATTTTAAGCAAAAAAGCAGAATAAGAGCCTTCATCTAACTATGGCACAAAACAAATTAATTATCGACGCCGGGTTCTTAAAATAATACGTAATGCGTGATTTGATACCCAGCATCCTTGCCACATTGCCAGTAATGAAAGACAATTGTGTAGCGAACGTCAGTGCGATATCTGTATATTTAAAGTGACTACCGGAATTTTCAGCTTCTAAGTAATACAATTTGGAATTTCAGATATACTTCCACAGTCAAAAACATGGCGCTTCGTGGTGCCACATTTCGTAAATTCGTGACGCTCATAAACATGAAAAAGACCAAATGCCTTCAGTAAAGGTGCTCTCTCTTCCCATGGAAAATATGCCCGCTGGTGAGCTGAATAGATAGTGTTTTAACTATAATAAAAGCAATAGTCGCGGACATTCCACAATTGCTTCTTTCATCCTCCCGAGATGCCTGTAAAATCGATTTTCTGCGAACGACGCAACCCCCCCCCCCCCTCCCCCGAAAAAAAAAAAAAGAAAGAAAGAAAAGAAGCAACCGTAATAATCGGCTTTGAATTCAAACTTTTAGAATGAACTATTTCACTGCGCGATGTCTAAACGCGATAGAAAATATTGACTTTTTTTGCAGGTTTTGAACAGAACCGAGCCCTGCCAACTTTTTCTGTAAACACACAAAAAAAAAAAAAAAGAACAGAGATGCTGGACAACCGGAAATCGAAACCCTAATGTCTTTGGTGAAACCTGCACGGGATAGCGCCCTGCATATCTTGTGCGTACAGACACGTGCAGACTCCGGAGCGCGCATCGGCAGCGCCGAAACCTCATTCTGGTCTTGCTGCGCGAAAACGTCACTGCCCAGCAAAAGTTGTTCGGCGGTGTGTTTACGAGGGTTCTCGTTGTAAAAATGACAGTCTCTTGAACACACTGCCGGGAAAAAGTGCACACACGGGCACAAAATAAAAGCGAAGCAAAAATTAGAAACTACTCAGCGCCAAAAACCTTCCGGTAGTATCCCCGTCAATATATCCAGCCTTAACTCCCCCCTCTTTCACCGGTCTATAAAATAACATCTGCGCAAAAAATAAACAACAGGGCAAGGAAGTTAGCTCAGCGCCCAATTTATGATGGTGGGATTCGCTTTGTAAAATCGCAAACATTCAGAAAAAGAGATAACAACGAGAGAGAGGTACGAAAATCGGGCACTTGATCGTCTATGTTGTGTGCGTACAGGTGACACTGCGACGGCCCGGAAACTCTCTCGTGCGCCATTGGAGTCGAACAGAGCGCGTCGTACACTGCGCGGGCCGGCGTAGACCTCGACTTTAATTTCCGTGCGTCAGGGACCTTCGTCCATTGGAACCCGGAAATGGAAAGGTTTGCAAGGCGAGGGAATGTGTGCGAAGGAAACGGGAGGCGGCGGAGGAGGTCCGATCTAGGGCAACTCGGACTGCGAAGTTTGAGCCCTTGGTCGGTCGCAGGCCGACCTAACCTTCTACGCTTTTTCGCAGTGCGTTCAGAGAGTTCTCCACACTTGTCTTTCCGCCAGCCCCGCCCCGCTGTTGCTACGGCAGTCTTGAACTCGCCTTTCTAAGGCTTGATTAGCATTTTTTTGCGTGTGATTTGTTTTAGGCAATTCGCTTCTTCAGAGAGACTAACATTTTCATTCCGGATTACATATCGGCCGTATTTATAAGTTGGGAGACGAAAGTACTTCTCCCGGACAAGCACCTGTTTCGTTTCTTTAAAAATAAGGCAATAATAAGGAAAATACACGTTAAAATCACCTCAATTACTTCCAAACTCAACGAATTGAAAGAAAGATCTTGGGCCAAGGATTCGAAGGAGAACGGGAGAGCTAAGGTAGAGAAGGGAGCCCTATTTATTATCTTAAGTTATTCACCTCAATGTCAATTCCAGGTTTTTCCAGGTTTAAATTGTGTGCTCCGCCTCCGTCCTGCGGGAATAAATAAAGCTATAGGGTGCTCAAAATTATTCTTTTTCTCGGGCGCGCTTTTGAATATGCATTTTGGTGTCTCCCTGTTCAGCAGTTTGTCGTCCAAGTGACAGACTGCTCCGGGCGGAAGGAGACTGAGCCATTATTTTTCGTTTTGCTTATTTTCAGGGTCTGGCGGCGCAAGAACGGTTGCCCAAAGTGGGAGGAAGATTACCCAGCACCAACCTACGCAGGTCGAAAACAAAAGGACAAAGGTAGAGTGGCACCATTTACTTCAATTGCGAGGGACGCCTCGAATCGCAGGGCTCAAAACCCTGAGACGGGGAAGCAGAGCTCAAAAGAAACCCTAACCCTGCTCTCCCGTCTCACAATTTTGAACGGCGTCGTTTACCGGCCGCCAGGTTACCTTCTCTGGTTTCAAAGCACCTTTTGTGAGCAAGTTGAATGGCCACTGATTTTTCGCCCTTCCTTTGCATCTCCTATTCATAACCTTACAAAAAAAAAACTCTGAGCCAATTTAGTTCCGGCCTTTAGGTTGGCCGCCTTTAGGCACGTGGCCACGGCCCAGAGCCGTAACGTGAACGTTTGCTGCTTCGTAAACAGCGAACGAACCTTTTCAAAATAGATGCTGCACCACCCTGCATTTTATAAGAAACCTTCTGGCAGGTAATTGATGAGCGTAGTACAACCTTTTCGAAACAGCCGCCCCAAGGGTTAAAGTAGGATCATAATATGCATGCACCGTACAGTTTGGAGTAGCATGCAATGACGCGGCACTTTTCTGCCAACAGTGAACGGGACAAACACCGTTTGCCCGTTTTCAGCCAAATTATGCTTCCTATTGCGAGGGTGTGTCCGGCTCCAGGAGCAACTTTCGCTGCCAATGAGGAACAATGGACCTTTTGTAGAAATACGTGGTGCGCATGCGCGGAGTATTTGATGCGCCTGGGTTCGAGAGTATCTAGTTCTAAACAATCCGCCATCTTGCCTTTCTCGCCTTTGCGCGCCTTGGAGACCATCGAGACTCAAGTTTTGATCTTGCGAACAAGGTGAACACGAGTCATCGTACTGACGACGCCCGTTCTAGATTACGACGTGCACCGCAATCATGCCGGTGAACTGTGTAGCCTTCGGCTGTCCGAACTATTATCGCCCGGGTTGTGGAACTAGCTTTTTTCGCTTCCCGCGTGCTAAGCTTCATACCGTTAAGCGGGCAGCCTGGATTCGTGCCGTCAGGAAAGTTCACAAGTCCGACCCCTCGAAGAACTGGAGGCCAAGTCAGCTGTTCAGACTATGTAGCGCCCATTTTATTACAGGTATGCGAAATGCGGCGATGATCACATCTCTTCGATTGCAGGGAAGCCGGCGTTAGAGAAGGCACACCCGGACTATGTCCCTACACTGTTTAGCTACTCGCGTCCACGGCCGTCAGCCCTCGGTCGGTTTCAACGCTGGTCCTCCAGATCATCAACCCAAGGCGAGAACCTTTTTTTGGCAATCAGGTCAGCTTAACACGAAAAAACAAGGACACGAAGGAAAGAACTGGACAAAGAAAACGCTGACTATCAACTGAATTTTACTTTGTCTTCTTCCCGGCCTAGGCCCTTTTTTCTTTCTTTTTCTTCGTCTAACGGCAGAATAAACACTTATAAAAACCTTTTAGCCTAGTATTCAACGGGGTGTGGCAGACCGCAATCGTCTCCTTTTTCTTCGATGGCCAAGGCCTCCAGCACTTCACGCGCGAAGGAGTTCTTGTTCCTATGAAGTACGGTTATGCTGGTGAGCTCGGCATCGCATCCACAGGTCCGGCAATGAGCTGACAGTGGTCCGCGTCAAACGCGAACGGGATCTTCTCATCCCGAGACATCGTGACTCAAAATGCTTCGAAGAGCAGCGAAAGAAAACTAAGAGTAGCAAAAAGAAAACGAACCGGTAGCACACAAGAAGCCTAACGTGGACGTTGTTTTCTCTACAAATACTCTCCAACCCAGTGCGCCTCAGGTTCGTCCATCGCCCCATAGGTGGCAGCACATATTCGCCAAAAGGTCCATTGAAGAATGCGCGTGCATATAGAGTGTTTGATTTTAATTGGAGCATATTTTTTAAAGGGCGTAAAATTAAGACGAGCGCCGTCTAGAGCATGTATTTTGCAGCTCATCGTGAGCTGACTAATTATCTAAACTCTGGTTATTAAGTTCTTAATTATTGTTTTGGGGGGTCATATTGTAATTTCGGTATTCACAGCCATTACAATTAAAGGACAGGCCAATTAAAATCATTTAGGAAAATGGAATGGTTTTCCAGATCCTAAATGTTTATGGTTTATCACTCCAGTCAGAACTTGCCCACACAAAAGAAAGCGCGTCGCGATGACGCTTCGAAGAATAGCGTAGCTCTTTCAGGAACATTGTCACTTGCGCCGTCTGAGTGCCCACCACACGTTGCCGAGATAGTGACGACATGCATGGAACGACGACGGTACTCTTCTGAGTGTCATTTGGACAGGCTTGTACGCTTGCGGCGCGCTGTATGTGCGCAAGTTATAAATCAGCATAAAAAAGTAAACATCTATCAATTAATATTCTATTACATTCTTGCAAACGTTTTTAAATGGGCTGGAATTTCATAGTAATTAACATCAATACTGCAATTGCAACACGACCCCTGTAACAAATAATAAAAACGTTAATAACGTATTTTGGTTAATTAGCCTCCTTGCAATGACGAATATTCCCCTATCTAATGTCTGGCGATCCTGAAAAATACTTGGTGAAAACGGAACTTATATAACTCTCCCCTCCTTTTTAGATATGTTCTAAATGAAATTTCGCTCAGCGGTGCTCATTGTGCATAAGCACACTCGCGCCAATAGCTTTGACAGCACAGTTTCATGAAGTCGTCTATAAATATAGACAATTGCAGGCATATGGGCTCGAAGCTGGCACGAAGGAAAGTAAGTAAATACATGATGGAAGGGCACATGGCCGCCGCCACGTCTCGCGACATAGCATACATGCGATTAGAAGCTGGGTAGAACTATTCCTTCACGCGGATGCGTGCAAGGACGTGCAGCATCCGTGTGAAGTAATAATTCTACCAAGCTTCTAATCGCACATACTTTGTCGCGCGAGAAGAGACGTGGCGGCGGCCAGATGCCATTCAATCGCGTATTTACTTGGCTCGTATTGGGCCAGTGTATAGGCTGGTTTCTTTAACGGAGCATGTGGACATAAAAACGGAACTCATTTATTTCGCATCTCACGACGCCTACGTAGAATCGGTATCTACACAAAGCTGCTTCAGTCACCGACAGCATGAGAACAACAGGGATTTCTGCCGATAACACATCGAGGTCTCGCGAGCGTCCAGCATGCACGCCCAGCACGAGGGAAGGCAAGGAGCACGCGCTGGATGCCGGGCATATGAAAAAAAACATATTGGCGTTCCTAACCTAGTAGACTCCGTACGCGCTATTAGAAGCACAACAACACTGAGATCCATGAAGAGAAAAAAAAATGCTGCAGTAGCGTTCCTAGCAACAATACCAAGAAATAAGCCAACGAGTTGAGAAGAGAGCCTTCCGCATGATTCGTCAAAGAGGCAAAGTGCGAGCCCGCGGCAGATCGATGCTGCACAGCGGTATAACCGCTTATTCACACTGGAAGTTGATTCGCGTTCGCAAAGCGGTTGCGAACGCGGTTGTATAAGGATCCAGTAGAATGGACCTTTTCCGAGAAGCGTTCTGCGCACGCGCGAGCGCCGATGCCAAGCGGCGGAAGTCGGCACGAAAAATCGAGGAAATTCGGAAGGAGGCTGTAGATAGACGAGCAGAACACGAATACCGACGGCACCAGCCACCGCCTGGTGCCGTCGGTATTTGGAAAAGGTCCATTGCACGCGCACTCGATGACATCGAGTGCGTGTGCAATAGTACTGGATCTTCATACAACTGCATTCGCGTTCACAAAGCGGTTGCTTTGTGAACGCGGATCCGCTTCCAGTGCAAATGAGCGGTAAGAGGCGGGAGTTGCGCGAAGCACGGGGGGCAAGACGCAATCACTACGACTCCGAAGAGTCGAAAAACCATATATTGCGCGCGGACTCCGAGTTGCGGATGAGGAGCCCTATGGCCGGCTTTGACCCCCACGGCTCGAAGGAAACACTGCAGCTATACCGTTGCCTCGCCCTTTTGTCCGGTCGCCAGGCCGAAGAGATATCGAGCCACCCGCGTCGATAAACCACAGCCGTCGTGGGACACATTCAAGAAAAACGGGCAAACGGAAGACGCTGGCACTATCTTGGGCAGAGGCAACGTCCCTGGTAATGGTCCATTCCGGCCCTGCGTCTGATCCGCTTTGTCTTGAGCCATTGGCGAACCACTTCTCTTCGAAGGGGTCTGACAACAGCGCAGTGACGACGGGGCGGACGGCTCGTTGAAATGTACTCACGTCTTTCGCCGGTGTGTCGTTCCCACTGCTAGCAGAGTGGGGGCAGGAAAAGGGCGGCGCGTCTGTACGGTTCTCAGAGAGACTGGGGCTTTGTTTTCCGCCTGACGAGTTCCGTTGGTCAACATGTCGGGACTCGTCCACTGCCCGTTCTATACTTTTGCGCGATACGCGTTGACCGGAAGTCAAAGAAATTTAGAGGTGGCAGTGTTGGAGTCAGGTGCAGATGAATGCAGGCATCGCAAATAGTCAAGTAATGCTTTTTTTTCCGCCATTGATTTTTTTTTATACATTATTGCAAAAATAAATCGATCGCAGTTTTATTTTCCCGGTCATGCATTCAATTAGAGTGCTACACCAAAAATAATTGTAGATGATTCAAGAGGTTACCGTTACGTTATACTGACTTCCGAAGTCGGGTGGTTACTTCACATTTTGACCTTATCTCGCATGCATGCATAATTATGAGCAACGCATGCAGCTCAGGGCTTTGTCAGATGGAAACTACTGAACAACAAATGGCTTAAAAAGTACAGAATTTCTACATTTTTCGTCGTGGAAAATACAGCCATCTCTATTCCTTCTCTCGCACGTGCCGAGAGCTTTAGTTGGTATACTCACGCTGCAAGCACGATCGTGTAAACTTATATGCGTTTTTCATTTAGGTTTCTTTGTACAAGTCGACATAGCAGTTGTCGACGATTGGCCCGTGTTTACTGTGGTACACCGAATTTCCGGTCTCTTCCAATACTTCCCAGTATTCCATAACCACTGGATCAATCAGAGTCCATTCTCTGATGACCATTTGG